ACAACCGACAGCACTAATACATATGGTAGAGTAGATAGAAAACCACTGTAGGGATCAAACACACACCGTGAGGTATATATAGGCCATCGTACACAAGGTTAGAAAAAGACAGATGGTGTACACCTTCCACCGAGTCTAATGATACGAGCACACAGGCAGACAGCGGAATAGAAACACAAAACACATACTTGAGAAGCGCACCCTATCTAGTAACTGTGCCACGCACACACAATCCACATTCACGAGCATCCACGCAGGTAGTTATGTATAAGCGAAGAGAAGATAAAACCACTTGGCGTATCCTAGCTCAAACTTTACACGCAGATAGGATGTTTCTGGTTTAATCTACAAAGCTACACGTACATACGCCTATTTATAATCATGCACGATTATCGCATCAAATTAGATACTTACATTCGGAGTGAGCGGGCCGGTTGTCCTCCAGGGACCTCCACTATGGTCATTATAAATCTTCGTTTTCACACCATCAGGGTCGCTCGATGATATCTGAGTAGATATTGGAATTTGGGATTAAAATTGGGATCGAGGTGGGGATACAGCAATATAAAGTGAAAACACATCCTTGTCGGAATGTGTCGTGGCATGGCCAAGTGCACAATCCTGATTTTATTCAGATTTGTCGGTAGATACAATTTATACGTCTCCACATACAGAACTATACACTTTCAATGTACATGACATGTGAGAAAAGTATACACACATTTCGATTCAACAAATTGGAAACTTTCATGCACATAGCTATGCAGGTGGTAATAATAAATACAAAAATGGACAGCTTTTACAGACAGTATTGATTTCCCCCCAATTTCGAGATATGTTTTCTTACATGTACATGTATATTTGTACCAGAGTTGTCATCCAAATACACTATTTTATCATCCGCGCATTCTCGTCCGTGCACCACTGAATATATACATTAAAATATATGCACATCTTCGTGAACGGAAGGCGGCTGTAGTAGACATTATACCCAGGTGAAGATACATATATATAAATACACCTACGTATTGCATGCATATATACTGGCATGCATTTCAACGATCTCGTGGACAACATTCGCGTAACAGATTGAATCGCATTATTGCGATACGTGACAACCATAACTGGGCAAGCAGAAACATATAGCAACCAAAATTGGTATATGCACACACATACCTATGTGCAAGACTATCAACCTAAACATTCGTATAGAGACATAGGCACGCGCAGCCAAAACGATAGCCATAAAAATTTATTTTTCGTGACAATAGACTTCAACTTGAGCATACAGTCTATCGTCTAAGAGTGGTGCATGTATGATAATAGATATATATATATTATAAAACAGACACAGACATAGACACATAGACACACACACACACACATATATATGTATAATTATATATATAAATCTAAGTATAATAGAAACTAAACTAAGTTTAACATAAACTGTAACAATATGAAACATTTGCTAACAAAATCTAATAATACATATATGTGCAAACACACAAATACATACACACACACACACACATATATATATATATAGATGTATATACGCATACAAATACACATAAATACACATATACATACATACATTCATACG